TACACAGACACACAGCTCCTGAGTCAGGTGCGATTTGCACAGGTTTTCCTGACGGTATTTGTAATGCAAACAAATTGGCTGCTCACAAAAATACACACACACAGATGTATATATACAAACACACACACAGATGTATATATACAAACACACACACATATAGCTGAGTCCCTTCAGCTCCTTCTTCGATAAATCTACTAGAAGGGAATTCCCAGAAGTCCCAGACAAGAGGCAGGAAGTAAAACAGTGAGGGAGCAGAGACTAGCCCAAGATACAAGAGGGATTTTACAAGGCAGACTGACAACTCTTTCCTCCTGCTAATATACAGAAGAAATATAACCGAATCTACATTAATATTACTTCCGTCTCAACACAGCCCTTGAAGCCTCAGTCCCACAGCCATAAGCCTAGCAGTCGGACAGAAGAAATGTTGCCATGTCTCTTCCTTTGCTTTTTGTCATAAAAAGACCCAACCTACCTCTTTGGGGGAATGGATTTGGTCAGGCAGCTTGTCCTCTAATTCATCTACTTCCTGGTCCTCCAAAGTGTCATCTTCTTCCTTCAAATCCTGCGCAGCACCCACACTCACAAGCGACCCAATCTGCGACCTCTCAGAAGAAGAGAGCATTTCAATTCAGTACTTAAACCCAGGGCACAGGTGGCAGACCACAGCCATGACAGAAACCCCTCCACTCCAGGATTAGAATTCAAATGCACTGAGGGAAACAAGCTTCCTATAACCAGCATCCACCACCTGGAATAAAGGCTCCTTTTCACTCCAGTTCTGCCCTCATCTCCAGCTCCATCTTTCTTCCATACTAGCCAGAGGGAGCAAAGCCAGTGAGCGCATTCCCTATTTATCGTCCTTTAGAGAGCAGTAATTCATGGCACTCCCCTCACAGCATGCTAGCTTGTTAACACTATACTAAGTGCAGAAATCAATAGTAATTTTTCTGCTGAAGAAGAGACAACTTCTTCTATGCCAGCCACTAGATGACATCTACATATCTCATCATAGGTCAGCTGGATCAGTGAAAGAATTCAAAACAGTTTTGAAAGCTATCCTGAAAATGGCTTGTATTCAAGGGGCCCATCATGTCTTCCCTGACAAACTCAAGGGATATCGAGAACACCCAGGCCCATCTCTACCATATTCAACATGCTGTATGAACAAGCAAGCCATAAATTGTACAATGGCAGCACAATAACAGTGAAGAAGTCCAACCACTGCACTGTGACAAGAGGAGATGGAGAAGTTAGAACAAAAATAAAGCTACATAGCAGGAAAAAAAATGAAAGGAAATATTCTTGGCATTTATTCTCTGTTGAAGATTTTTTCTAAATTACTATTAAAAAAACTGCCGTACGTTGTCTGTGGCTGGAAAGAGTTATTACACCAAACAAATTTAAATGCATGTCATAAGTTTCCTCTGTCATACCCTTACATACTATGTGAAACTGTCCTAAGAAGTAACCTAATCTTTAATAAGATTAGAAACAGTCTCATTTTTGAGAGGCACACCACTCCCCTCATGCCAGTACAAAACCAATGCCAGTTGCCTAAGTCCAAAAGATTAGAAGCAGAAGAATGCAGCAGTTACAGAAAATACGTACATTTCCTGAAATTTCTGCTTTTAGGAATCAGAAATATTCTGATTGTCAAAGGGGCAGGCTATGAATATAGTGTGGAATAGTTTTAAAATAAATAATTAAAAGAAAAAAAAAGAAATAGAAACACTGGAATTCAGACACATTCTGTGTTGTATCTGTAAAGGAGGAGATCAGAACAGGGCAAACGTGGCTTTCGTTTCCATATCTGCACTCCTATGGAGAGAGCAGGTTGGATCCTGAAATAAAGCCATCTCTTACTTTACAAAATTTTCTCAATGCTGCAATTTCCTCTCCTGGAAATGGAACGATACACCAGAAGGTCTGTAAGAACAACTCAAACGAGCTGAATCCTAGGATACTCAAAATGCCAGCAGATGGATGGTAGAAGAAGAGAAGGGATACTTGGAGAGGACAGTTTTCTACAGGAAGAGCTCTCACAGTGATTTGTAACTGTTTCTTTGGCAGTCCAAAACAAATTATGACTTCTATATCATCATTTTCCACCACATTTGCTTTTTATCTTGACAGTTGCAAGGTCACACCTAGATAGCCTATTTGGTCACTTGCTACCAAACATGTATACATCTGCTCAAAAGATTCTCCATCAGCACAGGGACTGAAAGCTTGAGATTTTTTTTTCCCCCCCCAAACATCATGGAAGCCCAAGCGTCACGTAAGGATTAAGAAGAGCTGTACAAGCTTTATAAGAAGATTTACAAAGACAAAGGTCAGCTGATTCCTCTTCATACACCCCTTTTGGATGACTCCCCTTCCTTTCAAAGGAGATCTAACAAACAAATTTATCCGATAACGACCACAAGTATCTGGCATCTGCTTTGGCCCTTTTTAATCACAGTCTATATTCATGTCTTTGAAGGATATTAGAGGACATAGTAAAGAGAAATAGAAGAAAATATGTTTGGAGTCAAGAGGCTGATGCAAAATTTCATTAGCATCAAGACCAGATGACCTTCATTTGCTGTTTAAATAGAGGTTTTCTATTTTCTTTTTTAAGAAGGTTGTGGTTTACTGAGTGGTGCAATCTAATGCCTCACTTGTTCAGCTCACGCATTTCTGAAGTTGTATGCTGCACAGCATGTGTATGGTGGTAAATGAAAAATCCACTGCATACAGTGTTAGTGCCTGTAAACAGTCTAACGACTAGACCACATGCCCAACAAACAGATAAAAAACAAGCTAAACACTTGATAATGTAGTGTATCAGTAAAATTGTGGAAAGAATGAAGAACAGGGACATGGAAAACACAGGGTGAAGGAAAAAAACATTGTTAAGGAAACAGCAAAAGGTGCTTTCTCTCCCAGCTGCCCGTGGGACTATACACAGGGAGAACACTTAATTATTAAAGCATCATTCAGACAGAAGGGAGAGAGTCATTTCCTGCGGAAAATTGATGAGCTCGTATTTATCGAGGTTTGACTATATAACCTTTCAGGGTTCCTTTCAACCTAAATGATTCTGTAGTTTGAATAGGTGAGCCATGAGCTACACGTCACTGTTTTATAACCTTTAAAACAATCACGAGCCTAGAAGAACAGCTCCTTCTATACTGATCCCAGTATATACTGTCTGAAAGCAGATAGTTCAGCCTCCAATCCTTTCTCTCCACGCAGATTGAAGCACCTGCCAGTCACTGGAGGTGGTAGGAGTGAAATAGACTGTCATGCACACAGGTCACAATACACAAAAATATTTTCCTACCTGCACTGCAAAGTAGTGGACTCCAAAGAATCAACCGGCTGATCTGCAGGCTCTGTCTTTTGGGTTGAATCTTCATTTTCTAGCAATAAGGAGAATACATGGAGAGAAGGTGAAATAACTTTTAGTCTGTAAAATATGCAGATAGGATGGCAAACTATAGCCAGCACTCAAAATAGGTCAGGAGGCTGTGGAAGCACGAGCTGCAGCAACCAGCTTTTCATGTTACAGGCTACGTCCTTGCAGGATAGAAAAATTTTCAGTTTTCTCTAATGACCGTAAGAAGTGAATACACACATACACAAAAGAAAAAAAAGAGAGAGAGCAAGTGAGTGAGCACTCTCAGAAATAGGGTTCATTCAGAAACTACCAACCCCAGCTTCAGGAGTAAAGAACAAGGCCAAATTTCATCATTTAAAACCGAGCTGACAAAGCCCTGGAGAAAGCAGTCCTGCATCGGCTCCCACAGTGTACTGAGTAGATGGAAATTCATAGGTCACTGCTAACAAGACTGTCTAAAGAAGGCTCCCAGTCTCCTCTGAGTCTCTCAAACTCTGGGAAAACTCTGTCCCCACATGACTGCGACATGAGCTCTGCAGTCCCACTGTCTGATTGCATTAGGGTAGTGAACTGGGCATTGACAAGTTCCAGATTTTACAGCTCTCTAAAAATACGTATCACAATTGCTAGCTGTTTCTTAGAGCTAGTTCAGAGTTGGAAGACATCTCCAGATCACAAGCATAAAGAATCAGGCCTGCAGTCCACAAGAGAGACCGAATAACCAAAGTATTCCTACGCCTGACTGGAAGGGGCCTCTTGTACGCAGGAAAACACCCTGTTATCTACAGCTCATTCGGTCCTTGCCTTTTCTTCTACAGGAAACAAAGGCAGGGAACTGTTCCCCAAGTCTCAAACACAAAAGTCGCAGGTTAGCTGACAAACCCCGGTAAGTCACTGGCAGTAAGGTTTTACACAAGAGCAGGCGACGTACGTAGCTGTGTACCCCTAGACATCACAGACTGCTTCTTCTCCCCCTAGTAGCCAAGCTACGTGATTTTGTAAACATTATCCAAGGACTGACTGGTTCTTTGCAAGGGGTACTGCATTTCCCATATAACCAAAAGGCGACCCTAGAAACAAGACTCGTCAAGAAGAAAAGGAAAACGGCCGAGAAAGACAAACTTACAGCATCCTTCCTGGGCACAAGGCCCGAAACGAAAACATTGGCTTTGGCACATTTGTTGCTCAACCCAACCAGCGGCCATGGGGGACACTTTAGGTACCCGCACAGCCTCCGGGGACCCGGGCGAGGCCGCACAAGCACACGAGAGGCCCTGCTCTCTCTGCCCTCCGCGGGGCCGCCCCGCTGGGCCCCCCGTCCTCCCCCAGCCCCCTACCTGCGGGCTCAGTGTACACATGGCTAAGTACTTCAGAAGTGGCGTGGAAAAATCCTA